CGTTTGGTCAGGCTTATGTCATGTTCACCTATATGCATCAGAGAGATATGTTGATTCAGCATAGTCCTATTCCCTATAGTAATGGATCTATCACCTTCATTCCTCATGATAGAGCTTGGAACAACAGGACTGCAGTGTTAACACATGATGTTTGGATGGCTCTGATTGGGTCGAACATTGATCTTTGGAATCATGCTTTAGTTGATAAAGTTGTCTCTCAATTTGGTAAACTAGTTGTATGGGAGGAGGATCTTCAAAACATATCCAGGGTGTTTGTCAGAGCACGTGTGTATGGGTTAGACTCCATACATTGGTTCTTTACCTTTTTAGAAGGCTTAGACCCAACATCTGATAGTTGGATAGTCCAGTGTGAGGTTTTTCAAGCCAATCTTCTTGGTGGGCTACCACAAGATGAAGACATCCCTCCTGGGCCAGATGATGATGATTTTTTTCAGCCCAACAACTTTGCCTTTTTTGGTTTTGGTCAGCCTGGATAGGGGCCACCCCCTCCACCCTTTCAGCCTTTCAATCCTTTTGCTACACCAAACCCAAACCCCCATCTCGAGCAGCACATGGGCTGGGGGGTTTGGCCCAATGCTGATAATGTTAACCAACCAGTGATGAATGTCGTGCTAGATCCCCAAGATGATCATGTGCCACACCTCATTCCCTTACTACCATAAAATGCAGAACAAATCAATGCTGAAGAACTTATTGTTGAGGAGGTTATTAATAACTTTGATGGTCAGGCTAACATGGATCAAAATGCACAAGATGACCAACCTCAATAGCCCGAAGGTGAAGTTTTAGGAATGGATGATTTGTCAGATGCTTCAGATCATGAACCTGAACTTCCTCCTTTTCCTGTTGATCCAATAGAGGTGGTACCTTTCCCAAATTTGTAGAATCTGCAACCTATGATGCCTGAAGAAGTACAGTATAATGAGCTCATTGATTATTTACATGAATCTGAAAATGAGCTTGATCTTGATTAGGTTCACCATCAAAACATTCAGGTTGGCTTTGTTCAGCTTTTTCAGCCAGAAGCAGAAGCTGCCTTTTCTTCTTGGATAGACTCAACTCCAGTTTTCAAGCCACATCCTGAAGCTATTAGGCAGTGGGTAAGCCATTTCTCCAATTCTTCAGATTCTTTGCCTACTGTCATCATACCTGACAATTGGATGAATTTCTTTACTTTCACTCTTCTGTAGTCCCCTACTTTTGAATGGGCAAAAAATCTCCTACAATCCCTAGCTTGGGACTTCTTCTCTGTTGCTACTTCAGGTAACTCATCCATCTTCCACCTGCCAAAAACATGCCATGTTAGTAATATACTCCTTCCATCCCAAATTGTAAGACGTTTGACTTTTTTGGCTCCAAGTTTGACCACTCGTCTTATTCAAAAAATTTGTGCAAATATAGTCAAATTTAAGTCATTCTTGAAGAATTTTTATTAATAAACCAAACCACGACGAAAGAAGTGATATTTTACACAAATTTTTGAATAAGATGAGTGGTCAAACTTGGTGTCAAAAAAGTCAAACGTCTTACAATTTGGGATGGATTGAGTACAAGTCTGTCCTTCTTCTGTCATTATAAAAGAAATCTGATTCTATGCTAGGACCTGAAGATATCCCCGAGTCCTCTAATCAGACTATCAAAACTCCTAGAGCAAAAAAGGGGAAGAAACCCATCATATCTGAAACTGATGTGAGAAGGAGTCTGAGGATCAAGAAGCTACACAAAGGGTTTAAGAGCTCAAGCTGTAAGGAGAAAAACTATCTTGGTTGTAGCTCTTCTCCACCAGAGATCTCCACATCAATCATAAGAGATCTTGGTGCAACCTTCTACAACATCCATCCTGAGGACCTGACAGAAGCCAACTTGAACAAGAAGTCAGCAAAACATAAGGTTGTTAGCAAGAGGGCCAGAAGCAAGAAGCCTGAACAGCCCCCCAAGGGTGGGGAGCAGTAGTCTTGTCCTTTGTTATGCTTTGGGGCTTTCTCTTTTGTCTTTTGACTGTTTAGATATGAATAACAGAAGTTGGATCATTTTGTGCTGGAATGTAAGGGGCGTTAATTCAGAAAAGAAGTGGAGTACTATTAAGGATAGAATTGTGGACAGTCACTGTGATATAGTGTGTCTTCAGAAAACAAAAAGAGAACACTTTGATGATCTCTTCTTAAGAAATATCTGTCTCTCTTATTTTGATAAATATATTTACCTCCCTTCTGTTGGTGCTTCAGGTGGTTCCATTGTAATTTGGAAATCTATTTTTTTCCAAGTAAATTTGGTGTTCCAAAATTCTTATGCTCTATCTGTTGAGTTTACTTCTATGCATGATAATGCCCAATGGATTCTCACTAATATTTATGCTCCTTGTACCCACCCTGAGAAAAGAGATTTTATTCATTGGTTTAAAAACATCAACATGCCTGATGTTGTGGACTGGATAACTCTCGGTGATTTCAACCTCTGTAGATCTCTTGATGATAGAAACCAACCAGGTGGAGATCATATGGACATGTATTTGTTTAATGAGGCAATAAACTATCTTGGCCTAGTTGACATCCCTCTTAAAGGCAAAAGATTTATATGGTCCAATAAATAAGATTCTCCACTTCTAGAGAGGATTGATTGGTTTTTCACCTCTACTTCTTGGACCCTCTCTTATCCTAATACCTTTGCTTACCCTCTCTCTATGGAGACTTTTGACCATGTTCCTTGTGCTACCTCTATCTCCACCAACATTCCTAAAGGTTCTATTTTTCGTTTTGAGAATCATTGGTTGGAGCACTCTGATTTCTTTAGTGTGGTTCAGCAGCATTGGTTAGCTCCTAATCATATTACAGACCCTGCTAAGATCCTGACAGCTAAATTCAAGAATCTTAGAATTGCTTTAAAATCTTGGAAGGCCTCCCTTTCTAATCTGAAGGTTGTTATTGAAAATGTAAAGGTTGTACTAGACTTCCTGCAGGTAATTGAGGAGTTCAGGGATCTATATATCGCAGAATGGAATTTTAGGCAAATTCTACAAGACAAATTGCATAATCTTTTGAAACAATAAAAATATACTGGAAGCAAAGGGGTCAGATTAAATGGTAACTCTTGGTGATGCAAGAACTAATTTTTTTCATGCAAATGCCACCATAAAGTTCAGAAGAAATTTGATAACTTGTCTGGAAACTAATGTTGGGGTTTCTGTTTTTTTATCATGAACACAAGGCTAGTCTGATTTGGGAAGCTTTTAAAGACAGAATGGGCGTTTCTGAATTTACAGCAATTCATTTCAATTTAGATTCCATCATGCCTACAATAGTTGATCTTAATTCTCTGATCACACCATTTAGCAGGCAAGAAGTTGATTCAGTGGTAAAATCCTTGCCTTCAGACAAAGCACCTGGGCCTGATGGCTTCAACACAGACTTCACTAAAAGATGCTGGGCTATTATTTGTGAAGATTTTTATAATGTTTGCAATGGTTTTTACTCAGGGAATGTCTGCCTTCAGAGCATAAATGGGTCCCTCATTATATTAGTTCCTAAGCATGATAATACTATCAAGGTTTCTGATTTCAGGGCAATTTCCCTGCTCAACACCTCAGTCAAGGTTATTACAAAATTGTTGGCCAACAGGTTGCAGTTGGTACTTCCAAAGCTTATCCATACAAATCAATATGGCTTTATAAAATTGTTGGCCTACAGGTTGCAGTTGGCCAACAGAGTGCTGCAAGAAGTGAGTAGTGTCGAACTGGAAGCGTGTCGCCCTCTCCGAAGGGTGAACGCTGGACCGCACCTCGACCAAGCGCGCTATCGGCAACAGTCCTGCTGCGCGTAACCTAACCTGCGGGGCATCGATTGCATTTAACTAATTTTTCCAATTCAAAGGTAATGTAGATTTGTTTGGCACGCACCTCGGTACCCAGCGCTGGTCTAGCGGCATGGTCGTCATGCCGACCCGGGCACGTAAAGTGCTAGGTGGGTCAACACCACGACACAGTGGTGCGCGTCCACTCGAGGGTCTAGCAGCTCTGGAGTCACGTACGGTGCTGGCGGTGGACCCGCCATACCAGCAAGAAAGGGAAATGTCAATGATCATGACAAAACGGAAATAACCATAAACTATGTAATGAACATAAAGTACCAGAAAAAGCTTAAGAAAATACAATATTACGCGATACAACAATAATAGTACAAAGTTCTTACAATACCAGTTATTTCACTAATACAAAGTTCTTACAATATATGGTTCTTACAATACAAATAATAATACAAAGTTACTACACTACTTAATGGTTCGTACGCAAACATACAAGCGCGATACAGTACTGAATCTAGGATCATATGAGACCATCGTTGTTCTCACGACCCCGTGTTGCAGGATTTGAAGCCGCAGTTGATGAACCGGCAACTCTAGTGCTGTAAACATAGACGGTGCTTTATTTGCATTTCTTGTATGTGTCATGCGTGCCCTGTCTCGAGGCATTTAGAGCTAGCATATACGGACGTCTGGACTAGCTTCTGATCGGTCCATGTTGTTTCTAATGCGCTTCTTCTTCCGTCGCCCAACCCCTTGGAACATTAGAGGATCTGGATCAGGGATATAATAAGTTGCAACTACTGGCTCCTTGATGAATGACCCAACAATGTGGTACCCATAAATTAAACTTCACGCTTCCAAGTTTCCCATATGGTTTCCTTGAAAAAGTAGCTAGCGCGGAACATACATACGGGGCTGCAGGTTCCCCGCCTCGTAACATGCGGCGATCACATGTGTGCATGGCTTGTGTAGAAGCTTTGGCTTCTGGCAAGAGCAAATACATATGGCGTTGCGGAGAACACACTCTTGGGTGTGCCTTTCCCGCCTCCCTCCCAGCCGGCCTTTGTCCCTGCAAAGAACCTCGTACCGTCGCTCAACTGAACCAACTGGGCAAACACGGTACAAAAGAGCCTTTTTTGCGCGGTTTCCATGTATTCGGTCATCTTGTAGCCATATACCTTCTACGGGTCGGCCATTATTGATTGGTCAGCCACAGCATACCGTTCCATAAAATATTTGATTGTGCGGTAGAGGTAGAACTCCACGATGCCAACTAATGGGAGGCCCCGAACACCACGCAGCATCCAATTGTACACCTCAAAAGAGTTAGTTGTCATTATACCATGACGAGCGCCTCCTTCGTCATATTCATTCAACCAGACAAGCCTGGCCTGCTCCTCCAAAGGAATCACCGTCCACGTCGTCCCGAAATTCAACCAGACAAGCCTGGCCTGCTCCTCCAAAGGAACCACCGTCCACGTTTCCACGTCGTCCCGAAATTTTGTGCCCGTCCGATTTCCCGTCCTGTGGTCTAAAATCGTTGAATCTGCTTTCGTGCGAAGCTGCTCCTCCTGCTTCTCCTTACCTTAGCTGGCTTTTACTTAGCTTCTCTTTACCTGCTCCGGCTTCCCATCCAAATCCACTCAATCAAATATATACTCCAGCTTCTCCTTCTCAACCCATCTGGAAAAATCTCGACTCTTCCCGTCGCTCTCCTCTCTCTCCCCAGCGCTCTCTCCCTCTCCCTCTCGACCCGGACGCGGCGACCACCGGTGCGGACGCCAGCGGTCATGGGTCCTCCTCCTCCTCTCCCCTACGCATCGTGGCGTGCCAGGGCCCAGCCCAGCAGAGCTCACGGACAAGGCACTGGGGTGCGAGGCGCCCCGGGCTGCACCATGCGTGCAGCGCGGCGCCTGTGGTGGTCGTCTCTCCGCCACGGCCATGGCTTGACTGCCCAGCCAGTGGCCGCCGCCTTTGCTGTCCCCCGAGCTGCCTCCTTCCTCCTGCTCCTCCTCTTCATGTGCTACAGAAACCCTAGTCAGCATGTGCTACAGTGTCGCCACGATGATGGCGGCAAGCATCAGTCCTAATGCCCGCTTTGAGATCCGTGCTTTACGCCATCAATTCTGCAGTTCCCTTTTCTCGCTAGAAAGATTTGCTAATGCTCATTATTTTCTTCTATTTTTTCGCAGCTAGATTTATCGATCACCTTTTTTAGAAATACCTTGCATCACCTGGTACACGCTTATGCTTCTTCTCGTGTTGGTACCTGCTTTTTACATGCCCGTTAGGTGCTCCTTTTGTTTTGAATCATATAGTGCAAATTTGCTTTTATATTATTTGGTTATTATATGGTCTGTAAGATCATAGCTGATGGATCTATGATAACTGCAGTTGACCTCAATTTTTTTTTTGCCAACAACTGTACGATCTTATACGATAACTGCACTAAATAATTATTTCCTACTTCTTTTATCAGCTAACAACTGAACTTGCAGACTTAGGGGCGGAGACAATTATTTTCCCGAATGAAAAGAGATCTAAGACACATAATGCTCACTATCTTACTCTTACTTTCATTGTTTTATACCTGTACAGTCAACTAGCCAAGGTTGCCAAGGTTTAATCTGGTCGCTTGCTTCCATGTGCATTGCACAACCTCTGCTGCACCTGAGAACTTTTTCTCCTTCATTTTTTCCCTCTACCCATTGTCACAAACATGTATTTCCTCCAGGTATACATTTTTGAAGAAATTAATTAATCGGTTTGAAAAGGGACCAGCAACATTGGCGTTCAGTGCCCGTAGATCCATCAGATTAGAGAGGCAAGTGCTTATTGGTCGGGTTGGAGGTAAGACCGAATTTGTCTTGGCTAATTCTACGGAAAATTTGATTGTATATCATCTCCTTGTGTTTTTTGTTTGCATATTCAGCAGTTGTCTGTAGGTCAAGCAAGGCTCTCCCTTGATTGTTGTACAGCATAGCTGTACACGATGGCTAAAGATGTGTAGATTTGCAAAGTGTGTAAATTACGATTAAGAGAAATCATCATTTGTGATAGTTTATTAGAGTCAGCCTATCAATAATAATGGTAATTTATTTACTATAAAATACTATGGTCGCTGACAACTCCAGGATACTAATTCTACATTTCTTTGTTTTTTTACATCTCAGTATGCATCCAAAGTTCCATTTTACGTTCATACACCAGAAAATATATCCACTGCTTTTTTAATATAGAAAATATGTCCTACTAAATCTGATTTGTTACATGTACCTTTCAGTGGTCGTAAAAATTGTATCCCGTCTTACATGGCACACCAGGACATAGATAGAGATTAGTTTTGTTGCAATACATGGTCTATACTATATCACTTTAGTAGTTTAGCCACTGATGCATAATTGTTTATATAGGACTCTGGTTCTAACTAAAAACACTGTAAGCCTTATGAAAATTACCTCCATTTTAGCCTCCATTTTGTTTATGCTTGTCTCCTTTTTCCTTAGAATGATTCAAATCCTTGGTTTCCTATTGACACACTCCAGGTGCCCACCATCTAAGATGCTTACTGTACAGAGCTCAGGTTTTTACAGCATGCTTGGTAGATCTCAAGGCCAAATTCCATAATGCAGTGCTTCATGGTGCTAGAGAGATGTCTATCTGGAGGCAGCTGGCGGTAGATCATTCTAAACTTGATTTGATTATATTGATCTATAATATTCTTTGAAAATTATTTTTTCCCTATACTGAGTGCTATGTTTTTCCAAGATTCACCAGTGCTTAGGATATCGTGTGTTAATTTGAAAGGTAAGATAGTTTAGGATCTACCAATTAGCATTTGGTAATATACTCTGCTTGACACTTTTAACAGAAAAATATGTACTTTAGTTTAGGATCTGCCAATTAACATTAGTACCTTCCCCTTCTGATTGTTTTTGGTGTTTGGTGTTTGAAAAGGTTCGAAATTCAAAGAAATGCAGTGTTTTCTGCAAGTTGTATACTCAAATTTCGTTTTGATTACTTGAAGTTGGTGAAGAGTATCCCTAGAGAAGAGATATATGGATTTTGATGAACTTTTTCCCTATTTGTTTCAGTATTTGTAGAAAGAAAGCTTACAAATACAACAATGTAGCACATAAAAATGGACCCAGGGCCAATAAATAGTTCCAAACATCCAATTTTAGTGTTCTTCCAAATTAGCTCTGGCCAAAAATTACCGCATACATCCAACATGATCTATAATGTCAAACCTCACTTCCATACATCCAAAGCACCAATTCAGAATACTCAATGTTATAATACTCAATGTTATAATCCCTCTATTTATTTTCCTTCACTCTCATTATGTTATTTACCATAATCATGTCCATGTCTATTGTTTGCTAAAAATAGTTACATTTTTAACATATCTGATGGGCACGCAGCATATTTTTGCAACGAGCTATTCTAGCTTCTCCTGGTACAGTCTCATTATCTCCAGTCCTCTTTTCTAGGGGAGTCAGAATTTGATGCAGAGAATAAAACTCGATCAGTTCATATGAATAGGAATTATTCATGGTGTATTTTTGTCAATAGTTAATTTTCATTATTGGTGGCATCTGATTGTTAAGAGACATTTGCAAGTTCTCTGTTATTTTTCTTATTCTTAAATGTTGGTATTAGTGAGAATGTAATTTCAGCAATTAATCCATACGAAGACTTTTACCAACTAAAAGTTACTGTACTCTAATATGATTATTATCCTCTGCATATTTGTTTCTATTACGTACAGAAACACAGAAGAAGCTATATGTAATGCTTGGAAAGGATCTCTGTTCAGACAATTTTTCCAGCTGATAGGTAATTTCCTTTATGGTCATCACATAAGATTGTTGCGTATAAGTTGCATTGCATCAGCAGGTTATGATAAAAAATATTATCACCTGTTGGAGTCTAACATGATTATTACCCCAATGCTTAAACCTGCGCTCTATCACAAACTAACAGATTTATGCAATCTGTGAGTGCACAATATATCACTTGAGAACGTGCTTTCATTTTCCCTGTCAAAGACTACGAAAACTCTAATTCTATTCAAATGCTAAAGAAGTGAATCATCATTGCCTGGATCGCTTGGATCACTCGGCCTCAAGGTGTAAGCCTGCGAAGGTAAAATACATGCTTCACATCTATTTTTTTAATTAGTTCCCTTTATTTTAGATCGTGGCTCAAATCTGAAATTGGTTATTTAGAGACTTCCATGCAAGCTATCAGACTAAAAAAATATGCTACGTATTCTCCTTTGAATTCTTTCAGTCAACCACCAACCAGGTTTCACAAAATGATTTAGCCTGCTGATCATGCTCTATTTTTAGTGTCTCCAATCTATGGTTAATTTGTACTCATACTGCTTATATTTTTTTCTGAATATTTTTTGCTTCCTTCCTGCACAGGTTGGTATTTCTTCATTTTGTTGCGTACTTGCATTATTAACAGTATTTGTCTCCACTCCATGTTGGATTCCTTCATATGCATGTCGCCTGTTGCTACCTTGTAGGTCATTTAGGCTTCCTCTCATTTATGTCGACCTTTTCTATTTTCCCATCTATTTACGCCTGCTGCTTGCTAAGATCAGTGCTGTCAAATTTTTACTCCCCTTAGATGTCTTCAGCTAATGTCACCTTCTTTGCTTTTGTCCCTTGCTTTTTCGGACCAGGTACGTACTGCTATAGCCATCCATGCTTTTTTGGACCAGATAGATCCTGCTATATTCATGTCATCGATATTTATCTTATTCATATGCGTTCAGCTAATGTTACTTCTTTGCTCATGTTTTGAATTGGAAACAGCAGCCCACACACATGCCCCACCAAATTTTCAATTTGAGCTTAGGCATAGTGGTAGTTTCCAAGGTACAAAGGCCTTCATGCCCCTCATATGTTACATGAAATGTGGATGTCGTAACATAGCCCAACTCTAAAAAATCGATTTTAGTTGTCACCAGATGTGGGTCAATCACTATATTGTTCTCCATGTCATTGATGTTCATTTAGAGACCAAAGAAAATCATGACATACCATGTTCTAGTTTTCTTTTTCCACTCTTGCTATCATTACCGTTCTTAACCTTGCATGTTTGATAAAGGCCAAAAGGTGCATTGGAAGACTTTAGGCAAATGTCATGGGTTAGTGGGTTTATATTGGGAAATGCGTATATCCGTGTTTAATATCAATTAGAATAAAACAATCGTAGAATCAGAATCGCTTTCCACCGATACAAACTGTGATTCATTTGTTATGTGTCATTTGTTTCTAGGTCCGGAAGATGAGTCATGAAATCGTGGACAACAGATAGCGCCCAAGTTGTTTCCAGATAATAATTGCCCACATACTTGTTCCAAGCTATGTCCAAGAATAATTATGGCCGTATGACGCTTTTTTTCTTCCTTTCTCCCTTTTTTGTGACTTCTTAATCAGACGCATCTTTCTCTTCAAACTATTATGAGGGAATTATGAATGCGATTATTTTTGAATAAACGCAAAAGCCAAGGGCATGCCGCAAAGAAAGAATCCTATATCGTTGGATAAAATGTACCCAAGCCAACCAAGTTCAACATCTTTATCTCATGGACAAGAATCGTGCCATTAAACCAAATGTGTCGATCATGAAAAGTGTGAGAAGAGTGAAAGTTCCCTTTCCAAGAGATTCTCTAAGAGGTTGGCGTCCATTTTCCTTTCTCGTGTTGCCACCGACAATCCGTGTTTTCTTCAAGGAGTCACTACAAGCTTCTCCCATTGCTAGGTGTTCGGATCT